TATGGCACCCCTTCAAATATTTAAACAGAGCTATCATATCACCTCTTAAGCTTCCCTTCTCCAGGTGAAACAGACCCAGCTCCCTAAGTCTCTCCTCAGAGGGCTTGGTGGTTTCCAAACCTTTCACCATTTTGGTCACCCTCCTCTGGAAAAAATCCAGCTTATTGAATATATTGTACCTTCACTCCTCTTTCTTTTTAATAGTTCTTGTAGAAGTCCATGATTTCTTGATTAAAATGCACTGGGCTAATTTGAGGAATAAAACTTTATTTTTAGGCATCCTGAGGCACGGATTTAAATTCCTCTCTTAGCTCCAACTGGAGAAATCCATGGGATTTTCCATTGTGCCGACTCACTGTTGTACAACTGATACAAGTGGCCCACTCCAGTTGGAGACAAACCCTCAGGATCCTGATCTCATGTCCCTCTTTCGCACCGGATGGGCTGAATATTTCTAATTCTTTCTCCTTTTGCCTCCAATAGGATTACATGCCCTGAAGTGCATCCCAGCCGTGGGGGGAAAAAGATGCCAAGCACATGGGCACAGCAGGCAGATTCCTCCCCCTCTGGACCTGTTCAAGGAACAGCCCATCTGCCAGGGACACGCTGCAGGCAGACGGGGGCTTTCAGGCTCCAAAAGACCTCCTGCAGCGTCCCTTCCGACCGACCGCAAGGGCTGCTTTAGCGCCTGCACTATTTCAACGTGGTCCTTTTCAAAGTGGCTTTGCAGTGTGAACTCACAACAAAACAGTCCACTCCGTACCAGGGCTGCTCTTCACAGCATCCAAGAGATAAGAAAAAAAGGGAATATATGAAATCCCTGAAGCTACTAGTTTGGGAAAGTGACCATTTGGACTATAATGCAGGCCTATGACTAACATCTTCAATTTTTTTCCTCCTGTTTGGTTTGTAAAATCTTGGCTGATGAAGAAGCCAGTGGAGCTTCGAAAGCTTGCAACAAACATATTATGCAATTCAGTTGGCCAACAAAGGTATCACTGTTTGGTGGATTTTTGTCTGAATTTGCTAAATGGCCAACACAGCTACCCCTGCACGTCATTTGGACTATAGCTCCCCAAATCCCCCATGCCAGCAGGGGGATCCTGGCCCTTGCAGTCCAAAATGGGAACCTTTTCTGAGCTCTGTCCTTGCTAAGATTGCTTAGAAACCTGCAGGAAATGCCACACAGATGGGTCACTTTGCACTGAGGAGGAGGCACCATCCCATTCCCCTTTCAAGAAGCAAAAAATTCATCCAGATTATCCAGGCCATTTTGGGGGCCATATGAATATGCGTCTGGGAATCCTGGCCCTCTAACCTTGCTTCAGGCATGGCTCATTTTTCACCAAAGTGGAGATCAGCCTCAGCTCCATTCCCAAAAAACTTCTGGAGGACCTAGGACACGTCTGAGAACTGAGACAAGGTCCACCTCCGAGCGTTTGCAGCCATAAAGTTACACCTTTCCTCAAACTGCCTTGCTTTGACCCCGAGGGGTCCGACAGTGATCAGAAGCCGCTCCAAAACTCAAACTAACCAGGTTCACATCAGAAGGGTCACAAGGCACTTCGGGGGACTGTGGCACCCCAAGAGCCCCATCCAAAGGGTTGGGGGCAGTTTCCTTTTCCCATCCATGACAGGCCCTTGAGGACCCCCCCCCCCC